ATATAATATATATATTATATATATATATATATATATATATATATATATATATATATATATAAATATTATATATATATATATATATATATATATAAATATAATATATATTATATTATATAATATATATATATATATATATATATATATATATATAATATTATAATATATAAATATATTATATATATATATATATATATATATATATATATATATATATAATAATATATATATATATATATATATAATATATATAATACATTGTAGGTTGGTAGACAGAAACTGGCCAGGCAGGTACTACCGTCCTGCCAAGTGAGTGTGAAGTGAATACCTGTAATTGTTTTACATGATGGTAGGATTGCTGGTGTCTTTTTATTTGTCTCAAACACGTGGGATAACAGGTATATCTTGCTACTTTTACTTATACTTAGATTACACTACACACGCATATGCTTATACACACCAATCTGGTTCTCTTCTATTTTCCTAATAGTTCTTTTTCTTTATTTCTTCTTATCTCCATGGAGAAGTGGAAAAGAATTCTTCCTCCGTAAGCCAAGCGTCTCGTCGTCTGTCCAAGACTTCGAATTATTTACTCTCAAGCAGAGTGAATTATATGGATTGTTAACCCATGATAACCCAAGCAATGAGGCTTATTACCGCTGGGGTCACTGAGGTCCACATAACACTATTGTCAACATTCTGCTAACTCTTTTGAATAAATGCTTCAGAAAACCAAGTCTCTCAGTCTGGACTCCAGGCTGAGGGACTGATTACGCCAAAATCCTCCTCATCTTCCACCATTCTTTGCACTGGACTGAAGAAGCCACTAGCTGGCTAGACGTTCCCAGAATAAAGATACCCAGATGTTGCACAAACGTCTCAATTACCATGCTACTAACTCAACACAAGGGCAGCGGGGGTTGATCGACCCTGGATCCTGGTCGCCGTCACTCCAACACACTTACCACGAAGTCATCTGTCAGTGAATGGGAGACAACAAAAATAACACGACTTTTGTTTTCATGGTCTCGTGCATCAGTCCTGGCGATGAAAACACACAACACAAATTGGAAAATTTTCTCTGGCCTACTTGCTCTTTTCCTCGTACTTCTCACTTATTCTTTTTCCAACTTCTCACCTCCTGTTCTCTTATTGTTTCTTCCCATCTGTTTTCTGCTTGCTGTTTCCTATTTTTTTCCTTCTCCTTCCCACCTATTCTTGTTTCTTTCCATCTTTTAGACTCTACATAAGAGACAAATAGTACTAGCAACCAGTCACGTGGTACTAGGAACTAGCCACTTGGCACTAGGAACCAGCCACGTGGTACTAGGAATCAGCCACGTGGCACTAGGAACCAGCCACGTGGTACTAGGAACCAGCCACGTGGTACTAGGAATCAGTCACGTGGTACTAGGAACCAACCAGGTGGTACTAGGAACCAGCCACGTGGTACTAGGAACCAGCCACGTGGCACTAGGAACCACCCACGTGGTACTAAGATCCAGCCACGTGTTACTAGGAACCAGCCACGTGGCACTAGGAACCAGCCACGTGGCACTAGGAACCAGTCCCGTGGTACTAGGATCCAGTCACGTGTTACTAGGATCCAGCCACGTGTTACTAGGAACCAGTCACGTGGTACTAGGAACCAGCCACGTGGTACTAGGAACCAGCCACGTGGTACTAGGAACCAGCCACGTGGTACTAGGAACAAACCACGTGGTACTAGGAACCAACCACGTGGTACTAGGAACCAGCCACGTGCTACAAGGAACCAACCACGTGGTACTAGGAACCAGCCACATGGTACTAGGAACCAACCACGTGGTACTAGGAACCAGCCACGTGGTACTAGGAACCAGCCACGTGGTAGTAGGAACCAGCAACGTGGTACTAGGAACCAGCCACGTGGCACTAGAAACCAGCCACGTGGTACTAGGAACCAGCCACGTGGTAGTAGGAACCAGCCACGTGGTACTAGGAACCAGCCACGTGCTACTAGGAACCAGCCACGTGCTACTAGGAACCAGCCACGTGCTACTCGGAACCACCCACGTGGTACTAGGAACTAGCAACGTGCTACTAGGAACCAGCCACGTGGTACTAGGAACCAGCAACGTGGTACTAGGAACCAACCACGTGGTACTAGGAACCAGCCACGTGGTACTAGGAACCAACCACGTGGTACTAGGAACCAACCACGTGGTACTAGGAACCAACCACGTGCTACTAGGAACCAGCCACGTGCTACTAGGAACCAGCCACGTGGTACTAGGAACCAACCACGTGGTACTAGGAACCAACCACGTGGTACTAGGAACCAACCGCGTGGTACTAGGAACCAACCACTTGCTACTAGGAATCAGACAAATATTTATAGATCAGCCTCTTCAGGCCACAAGACATTTAAATTTTTATCATCAGTGATTAAAGAGTTATTAATTTGAAGCTGAATTAATAATAATAATAATAATAAATATAAATAAATAAATGCTAAATTAATAAAATAAACACAGTTATTATTTTCATAACATAAAACTCTGCTCGTTATTCAGTTATTTTCCTGGGAAAAGATATCAGTACTGAAAGGTAATTTTTTTTCAGAGATGTTTAAAAAAATTGTGTTTTTTTTTTTCAGGTTCTGTATCTGGTTTAAGAAAGAAAATTTACTCACTCATGCGAGGAAATTGTTAAGTTTATTTTGTGTTGACTGACGCAACTTTACTGGAACACAAAAACAAACAGACGAAGAACTTTCTGTTGTACTCTTGAGTTCTCCAACATAACTAAAATGTAAGTGTTGAAGTTTGTATTATATAAAATTCTTTTATCTTGCACCGTTTGAATTTACAAGTGAATATTAAAATGGCTGAGGGACTGACAACCTCAAATCAAGGGTGATGGACTGATTACATCGTCTTTATATCTCTACTGTTCCTGTCTACTTTCTGTACTCGACTGAAGAAGCCTACTGTGTAGGCGAAACGTTCCGGAATAAAGTTGCCTAACTGTTGCCTCTGTGTCTTACCTACCAACCTGACTTTACAGGTCTAGAGCTGATGTACTAGCTCATCCCGTGTCAAAGGCAAGTTCTGCCTAAGATGCATAACCTCCAAGGAAACCACCCACAACACTAGACTAACACCCAGGTGCCTATTCACTGTTAGGTGAATCGAGGCAACAGTTGTAGAGATGCCCATAGGAGCAGGTACTGAACACCTGCTCCCAGGCAGAGGGACTGATTATATCTGCAGCTTCTGCTTTTGACCATGTATTGTACTGATAAAACCACTGGTTGGCGAAACGTCTACAAAATAAAGATACCTAGTTGTTAAGTAAGTTTATTTAGGTATACACAAATACAGTTACATAGATTATTATACATAGCAGCATATATGTAGAGAACCTAGGATAGCCCCAAAAAGTCAAAGTGACTTATTTCCACTGGGGTCTTAATTTATGTGTTTAATTCTTCAGGTACTGACAGTCATCAGGTGGGAGAGAGAGTAGGTGAAGGTTGGTTGATTAATTGGATTCAAGACCCGTCGAGAATACTTTAATCCCTAAAATAGGGATTAAACATAACTCTGGTATAAACCTTGGTAGAAAATACCGACAAGTTTGTTTAGAAAAATACGTAAGCAAACACTACATCATTCCCTGTGGATTGTCCCAAGAAATATATTGGAGAAACAGGCAGAGATCTTGCGGTCCGCCTGAACGAGCATCGAAATGCCAATAACAGAGACGACTTAAGGTACTCCTGTGTACTCCACAGAGACTCCACGGGGCATTTGATGAACTGGGATGAGGCGCAATTCGTTCTCACCGAACAAGACCTTACACGCCGACGGTGTCTAGAAGCCTCGCTAATCGCCGTCACCGACACAATAGAACGTAACACTGGAAACCACAAAATTTCTAAAACATTAGCATACATGATAAACAACCAGGAAAAGCATCACCTACCCAGCAACACAGGAGTCATATGATCTCATCGTCTACCCGTCCTCATCCCAATATGGCAGTCATCAGGTCACCATGCGTCGCTACACTCATTAGGCACCTTTTGGCTCTCTTCTTGAATTGGTTCATGCTATGACTGGCTTTGACAGGTGCAGGCAGTCTGTTCCATTCCTTTATTGCTGTACAATAAAAGGCGTTTGAAGCCTGGCCACTGACTGTGGGTACTACAAAGTTGTGCTCTCTTCCCCCCAGCCCTGCCAAAATTGGCAGCAAGATATTCTGGACACTGAGTAATTTTATTAACTTGATTTATCAGGTATACTCAACAGGCTTATTCCCCTATAATTTTTGCACTCTCTTTTGTCCTCTTTACCTTTATATAAAGGAACTAGGCATACTCTTGCCAATTCCTAGGCATCTTCCACTCTTCCATACATTTATTAAATAAAAGCACCAACCCTTCCAAAACTATATCCCTACCTGCTGTTAACATTTCTATCTTTATCCCATCAATCTCAGCTGCTTTATCCCCTTTCATTCTACCCACTGCCTCGTGCATCTTCCCCACACTCACAACTGGCTGTTCCTCATTCTTACAAGATGTTATACCTCCCTGCCCAATGCATGAAATCACAGTTTGCCTATATGCATTAACATTTATCAGTGTATATTCTCTAAGAGATGGTTTGGTTGGTTTATGAGATTTCAAACCTGTCTACCACACGAGAGTTATTAAAGCTGCATGTCATCTATACGTCACCAGTCCAGAAAACTTTAATCTCTAAAACATGAATTAAAGCAAACTCTCAGCGTATATAAAAGGAGAGACATGCATCCCCAGGTGTATATAATCTTGCTAAGAGCTATTCACCTCCAGCTGTATACCGTATACACTGTATACGGTATACAGCTGGAGGTGAGTGGGAAGACAAGCTCAAGCTCGGGTGACAGCTATCACCTGTCCTGAAAGATATTAACGTTGGTTTCAGACGCTGTTACCTCCAGCACACAGTGTTGGCCAGCTGCCTGCTTTACCATATTTAGAATTTGTGTATTCTCCAGATGCTGTGTGACCCCTACGGGCTTAGGACTTCCTCATGCTTATAATACTAAAATAATCCCACCAAACAGTATTAGTCTCACTGATTCCGTTCGTTTATTCTCTCTCTCTCTCTCTCTCTCTCTCTCTCTCTCTCTCTCTCACCATGTGTTTCTACTCTCTCCGTATATTCGTTGTCGCTTCATAATATAATCTTTCTAATTCCTTCACTGTCTATATTTAATTAAAGAGAAACCTACTTCCTTTTATTTTAAATATTCATTGTCCAGTTATGTTAATCCTCATTTTAATATCGTTATTCAATTTTCAAAACCTATGTAATATTTTTGGTATATCGTTTAATATTTTCCTCATTAGTTTCAATAATTCTGAAATAATCTTTCCGTACTTTACTCAAAGACTTTTTGTAATATTTCTCTAAATATCCTTTATCCTTATAGGCTTTCATTGTTGTTAATAAATCAAATTAAATTTGACAAAAATTTATCAACATAACAATATAATGTAACAACAGACAATATTTACGGGACTATCAAACCTTAAGCTTACTAAAAATACGCTTATTATACGTGACTTTGCACAAGTCATTTGGTGTAAAAGTCATTTGTACACTTAACTTGATGTACAAGTCCAGCGTACAAGAAATCTTGGTGTACTAGTCCAGTGTGCAAGTAACCTTGGTGTACTAGTCCAGTGTGCAAGTAACCTTGGTGTACAAGTTCAGTGTACAAGTAACCTTGGTGTACAAGTTCAGTGTACAAGTAACCTTGGTGTACAAGTTCAGTGTACAAGTAACCTGGTACACTGGTGACTGGTAAGTTGTGGAGAGTCATGAGAGCAAAGATTTAAGGCATATTTTATACATACGCTTCGGTGCGTTCCAAATATACATAAAGAATGAGAAACATAAGTTTATATGGGTAAAGGTACGTGTGAGTTAAGCTGATGTATAGTGAGGGTCAGGTGAGCCGACTGTAGTGAGGTCACCTGATGGCTGTGTCCCAAGGTAAGCAGGGCGAAACGTGGTCAAGAAATTTCTGGCCGATTATGTTAGAGTCCTGCTTTCTGCACTTCCATATTAGTTACCAGTATCAGGAATGCTTCTGAACACTGGCGTCTCCTTAAATCAGGCTCTTGATGACCAGATGAGCTTCATTCCATTTCATGAGATGTTTCTTAGTGACTGTGCATGACGACTTCACTGCTGGTGTTTACATTGTTCCGTGGAGACAATATAAGTACGTGAAGGAGACTGGCATAGGTCGATTAAGATAAAAGTATATAATTATACGTGTAGCAGAGATGAGCAAAGTAAGGGATACATGATGTATAGATACTGTGAGAGGCATTTAATGAAATGGAACGAAGCCAAAGTGATTATCAGAGAGTTGGATTTATGGAGACCCCGGTGTTCTGAAGCATCCCTGATGGTTATAACACATCTGCCATGTTGACACGCATGCTTCACGAACATGACCACCTGGAGTATACCTGGAGAGAGTTTTGGGGATCAACGCCCCTGAGGCCCGGTCTGAGACTAGGCCTCGTTGTGGATCAGGGTCTGATCAACCTGGTTGTTAATGCTGGCCGCACATAAACCGACGGTGTCAGCGCCTTCTTGAAGACAGCCCAAGGTCTATTGGTAATCCCCTTTATGTATGTTGGGAGGCAGTTGAAAAGTCTTGGGCCCCTGAAACTTGTTGTGTTGTCTCTCAGTGTCGCCCCTGCTTTTCACTGGGGAATGCTGCATCTCCTGCCCAGTCTTTTGCTTTCATAGGGAGTTATTTTCGTGTGCAAGTTTGGTACTAATCCCTCTAGGATTTTCCAAGTGTATATTATCATGCATCTTTCTCGCCTGCATTCCAGGGAATATAAATCAAAGGACCTCAACCGTTCCCAGTAATTTAGGTGTTTTATCGTACTTGTGTGCCGTGAAAGTCATCTGTACATTCTTCAGGTCAGAAATTTTGCCTACCTTGAAAGGGTCAGCTAGTATACAGCAGTATTCCAACCCAGAGAGGACAAGCGATCTGAAGAGAATCATCATGGGCTTGGCGTCCCTAGTTTTGAAAGTTCTCATTATCTATCCTATCAATTTTTTTTTAGCAGATGTGGTAGATACATCGTTGTGGTCTTTGAAAATGAGATCCTCTGACATTATCACTCCCAGGTCCTTCACATTAGTTTCTCGCTCTACTGTGTGGTTAGAATTTGTTATATATCATGATAAAGTTTTAATTTCCTCAAGTTTTCCATATCTGAGTAGATGAAATTTCTCTTCATTGAACTTCATAAGGTAATCTCAGCTTACCTCACATATACCCTTGCCTATACAGTGTATAAATGAGCTTATGTTTGGTGTTAACTCATATTACGTGTCAACAAGCTACCAGGACCGAAACATCGATAATGAAATACCTTAAATGTTTGTTCACACGTCATAATCTGGTACAAATAACCTGAGTACACGTCGTGAGTGCTTTGTCTTACTTCTATAAAATCACAGTACGTTATGGCTGCTGCAGAACATTCTCCATTATGGGAACACAGTAGCACTGGTTGTTTTATTAAGGCACCTTGTGGGTCATTCAGTGCATTGAGCGGTTGAGGCCTGATCCTCCGTTCGCTAATAGCAAGACATATTCCATACTCTTGCAGCCTGACTTCTCAAGTTAACTTGGAGACATTTTTTTTTAATATTTGTTTTTAATTATCGTATGACGCATAACTATTACCGGAAACGGCTCCTTGAGAAGAAAATAGAGGGATTTCTTTGATGTCAGTTCCACCAACTCCCAATCCAGTTCCTGCTCCGATTCCCGCACCAATTCCTATTCCTCCAATTCCTACTTCTCCAGTTCCTATACCAATTCCTGCTCCTCCGATTTCCCCACCTATTCCTGCTGCCCCTACATCGAGGTTGCTTCTTACTGCCAAGGGACTGACATCACTTGCTACTGCCGGGACTTCGCCGCCACTGCAAACAGACGTCACCACGGTAAATGGTACAGGCTGCTGCTTCACCACTGTGGCGTAGATGGTGGTGAATAAAGTGGTAGTGAGAATAACTGGGTTATAATGCACTTCAGTGTTTTCGATGGTGGAGATCACTGGAGGTGCCTTCTTTAAGGGAGCTGTTACGGTGACTGTGTCAGCAACAATCTTCGTCTCCGTGACGACTTTGTACTGCGTGGTGATGATGGGGAAGGGCACTTTCTGAGTGGCAGTGTAGACAGACTGCTTGGTGATGGTCTTGGTGAAGTAGGCGGTGTCGGTAAGTACCTTGGCTGAGCCTACCGTCACCCCCTTGATGTTGGTGACCACTGAGGGCACCACCTGCAGCTTGATGTTGGTGACGGTGGTCACAGCTGGCACCGGTTGAACGTCCGTCACACTAACGTAACGTGTCCCAACTGCCACCTGGAAAGTAAAAAGAACATGGTAAGCTCTGGCAAGCCTTAGTTATCATCGATACCACTTTTAACATACTGACTAGTTACCGCACCTGTTCAACACCTAACACTGTTACCTCAACTATAAAAATTCTATTCTGAATCCGTGATGACAGGACACGGAAGTACTCTCATTATTAGCATAATGAATAAATGCATTCCCTCGCTGATTTGTACATAATTTTCCCCTTTAAATTCCCCTTATATTTAAAACACTTTTTAAGGAGAGTTTGAGGGGTGAAGTGATCTGTTGGTAAAGTGCTCTGTTGGTGAAGTTCTCTGTTGGTGAAGTGCTCTGTTGGGAGGTGAAGGTGAAACCAACTGTTGTGACACGGTGTTTAACGTACATAAGTGGATACAAAAATTCTGTGAGACAAGTACACCGTTACAGCACAATACACAGACGCAACGAGAGAACTGAATACAAACACTGAGACATGTACACTATCCTAGCAAAACGTATACATATGTTCTGACACATCAGGATACAGACACTGAGAAACCTGTATCACAGAAACGAAATACAGCTTCGGCAAGACACTGATGCAGTAAGATAGACAGAAAATGTAGACACCCGCAAAAATACACATAAAAGATCCACAATACAGTAGTGATTAAACTTAAAAAAAAATCTGAAGAAACTTATCTGATATAAAAAATAATTAAAAACAAAAAATGACAATAATTTTTATAGAGAGGAGGAGCAGTAAACCCGTAGGGGTCATACAGCATCTGGGAAATGGGAGGCAATTAGACCTGAGCTAAGGAAGGGAAGGACAGGTAAGATTCTTTCAATCAAGAGCCCCCTCACTATTGTCAAGAAACCTCCCTTGAGGGGATTACGTAGGATAAATTTGGCGACCCCATTGTTGGGAATCCGCTACCGACCCCACTAGGTTTCGAATATACAAAATAAAAGGAAACAACCATTGTCAAGTCATAAGATAAACAGGGGCAGCAGTTATTATGCTTGAAAAAAAGAGAGAACAGTGAAAGTCGGTCGTTAAACCAGAAAACGAAAAAAAATATGATCTGAAAAAAAAAGGTAAGAGGCGGGCGACCGTCTGAGAGTTCGACTGTCAACGAGTTCTACCATCGATCTCACCTCTCTTGGACGGATGCTCGTCCCTCAGGCCACCGTTTGCGAGTTCGATCATCGATGTCACTTCTCTAAGGACACCCACCGAATGTGTCCCTCTTGTCAAAGTGCATTTTATCTCAAGCAGTATCAACAGCGTCACCAACAACTTCATCACCAGAACCACAACACCATCATTATAATAAGCACCACCAATATTTCACAGACTAGCACCACTGCTATCTACCATAAACTACTACCACCACTCATAGATTAGCACCACACTGCTTGCCAAAGACTAGCACCACCACCACCGCTTACCGAGGAGTCGTACTCTATGTAGTTGTCGTAGAGAGTTGTGTAGAGAAGCTTGGTGATGACATTGTATTGGGTGTCGTAGATAGTATCGTAGACGGTGGTGGGAACCACAATCAGCTTCACATCAGTCTTGTAGATAGGAACCTGCAGACACGGAAAAGTGAAGAAGAGAAGTGAATATACATACGTAGTGAGGTATTATTTGAAGCTCTGTATCAGTGTAAGACATTAATTAGCTTATTGTGGCACCGTGTGGCAATGAAGGCACTGATTTGATATTATTCTTTTATATTCACAAAGAATAAAGCACCAGGGCCAGAGAGTACATCACCTTGGGTAATAAAAGAATGCACTGAGGAGCTTAATTACCCACTCCGGATTATCTTAACTTTCCTTAAAGAGTAAACCTGAAGGAGAATGGTAAATGAAAAGATAAAAAAAAGAAAAAAAGAAGAAAAAAGAAATGGAGATAAGAAAAATGGGGGGGAAATAAAGAAAAATTTTATAAATACTGAAGTTGTTCTGTTAAAAAAGGGGGGAAAAGTTTATTTTAAAAAATTTTTGGCCGGGAAAAAATAAAAATATAAACTGAAAAAGGAAAGGTTTAAAAGGGGTTTTTAAAAAACAGCTGTTTTTTTTTGGGGTTTTAACCATGGACAAAAAAGGGCCTTTTTGCCCCCAAATTGGGAAAATAAAATTTATAAGGCCCTAAAAAAATTTTTCCCAAGGTTTTTTAAGCCCAAAACCTCAGTTGGGGGGAAATTTTTTTAGTTGGGGTTTTAAAATAAAAAACCCTTAACAAAAAATTTTGGGTTTTTAAAACCCCGCTGGGCCCAAAAAATCTAAATTTATTTATGAAAACCAGAAAAAAAAAAAATTGGGGGGGTTGGGAATACGGGGAAACCACAAGGGGCTCGGGGGGGAAGGGGTTCCCTTTGATTTGTTTTTTAAAAAAAAAAAACCCCTTTTAACCCCAAAAAAAAAATTTAAAGTTTTTAAAAGGAGCAAAAAAGGGGAAAAATTTTTCGTCCTTTTAAATTTATTAAAACCCGGCGGAACAAAAAATCCCCAATGGGAATGGGGGGTTTGGTCCAACGGGAAAAACCAAAGGCCCCGGGCCCCAAACTCGTGGGTTTTTTTGTTTGTAAGTTTTTTTTTAAGGGGAAAGGAAAAGAAAAAAAAACTAAATTTTTGGGGCCCCAACCCACCAAAAATTCCCTGGGAGTTTGGGTAGGGAAATTCCCCGGTTATTTTTTCCCCCTTTTCCCTTTAAAGGGGGTTTTTTAAACCCCAGAAAAAGGCCCCCCCGGGGACCGGAACCCAACCCCAAAAACCCCCCCCAAAGGGGCCCGAAACACCAAAGGCCCGCCGGCCAAAACCAAAAGGGCCCAAGGGGAACCCAAAAAGCCCCCGCCAAGGGTTTTTTTTGAAAGAAAGGGAATGGGGCCCCAAAAGGATAAACCCAATAAACCCTGCGAAAAGGGAGAAATTTCCCCGGAGCCACCAAAACTTTTTTGAACGGAACCCTTTGGTGATTTAAAAACTTCTTAAAATTCTTTTTGGGGAAAATTTTTTTGGGGGAAAATTTTTTAAAAACCAAAATACCCGGGCGGGCCTAGTTTCCGCCCCAATCCCCACCAACCTTCCCCCAAAACCCGGGCCCCCCAACCGGGCCCGGGAAAAAAAACCCGAAAAACCCGAAGAACCCAAAATTTCCCCCCCCCAAAGGGGAAACTAAAGGGGCCGCCAGGGAAAGGGCCCCTCGGGCCTGCCCTTTTTAAAACCTGCTGGGGGTTTTTTCATTTGGACCTCCGGGGCCCCAGTTTTTTTTTTTGGGGTGAACCATTGTTTTTAATTTAAAATTAACACAACCAAACTTTTTAAAAAAATTAACAAAATAAAGAAAAAATTAAAAAAAAACTCAAACAACAAATTTTAAAACCCCCAAGAAAAACATTAACCGGAAAAACAAAAACCACAAAAAACCCCCAGCTTTTAATACCGGAATTTTTATCGAAACAAAAAGAAAAACCAAAAAAAGGGGGAACCAAGAACTGACCCCTAAAAGACGAAAAAAACAACAAACCCCTTCCCCGGGGGAAAAACCCGGGTAAGCGGGCCAAAACTTGGCCTAATTTTTGAAAACCCCCAAAACCCTTTTTTTGGTTTAAAAAACCCAAAAACAATTTCCCGGCAGCAGGAAAACACAACAACAACGTACAAAGCAACAATGCAGCAGAACAAAACCGAAAGAAGCAACAAAAAAACAAAAAGCAGAAACAACGTGGTTAACAGCCAAAAAAGCAACAACATTAACGGGCTTTTCCAGAAAAAGCAACAACATTAAAAAAAAGGGCCGGGAAAAAGTAAAAAAGGAAAAATAGAAAACACAGAAAAAAAAAATAAGCACCCCCAAAAAGGTAAAACTTTCCGCAAAAACTTCACCCTTTCCGCCCCAACCGGGGGGGCAATCACCCCCCGTAACCCCCCCTTTCCCCCCCCCTTTTAAAAAGGCCCCTTCCAGTTCCCCCTTCCCCCCAAAAATTTTCCACACGGGCCCCAACCCCAAAAACCACCTTCCAAAAAACCTTGGGCCGTCCGAACCCCCAAATTCTTCAAAAAATTTCCTTCCCCTTCCCCTGCTTTAAGCGTCAAAATGCAAAAAACCTAACTGAGGTTTTTAAAAATTTTAAAGAAAAGGTTAATAAACCATTTTAAAAATAAAAAGGGAAAAATTTCCGGAAGGGGGGGGAAAAACCCCCTATCCTTCACAGAAACACGTAAGCCCTTAGGGAAAGAAACCTTTTTTTTTCCTTTTCTCTTTTTAAAAATTTTTTTTTCTTTTCCTTAAAAATTCCTCTTTTTTTTTTTCCCCACCACCCCTTTTCTTTTAACCCACTTTTAAACCGTCTTCAGGCCAAAAAAAATCCGGGCCAAAATTTTCCCACCAAAAATCAAAAACCAAAAAAAATAGAAAAAAAATGCCAAATAAACCCCCCGCCCCCCAAACCCCTTCGATAATTCCTGCCCCTCGGGAAAGTGGAACCCCCCCCTTAAAATGCCCCCCCCCAGGCCCCGGGATTATGGACTTTTTCCCCCCCCGTTTAATTTTTTGGCCCCCCCCGGAAAATGGTGCCCCCCCCAATTTTTTTTAAACCCCCCCCCCCCCAACTATTCAAAAAACCCCCTCCCCCCGGCCCCTTTACCCCCTTTCCCCACCCCCGGCCCAAAACCCCTAAAATGTGGCCCCCACTATACGGTTTTCCTTTCCCCATATTTTTTCCCCATGGAAAAAAAAATTCTTTGCCCCCCCGATGCCTCAGTGTCCAAACCCAAATGTTTTTTTCCTTGGGCAGCCCTTTATATTTCACCTCTTTAATCCCGAAAACGTGGGCCAAACACGCCACTCCAAAAATATCTGAACTCATTTACTTTTTTCAAATTTTCCCTCCCCAATTTTAAAACCCAAAATTTTTAAAATTGTCTAGTTTTTTCTGTTACTCTAAATTACTTTCTTTTTTCCTATTTTCTTTTTTTAATTTTTAAATTCTTTTCCATACTGTCCTAAAATTCCCCTCCATAAAATTTTCCCGGCAGCTTTTTTTTCCAAAAAACTCTAAAGAAGCACAGGCCACAGCCAAAAAGTAAAAAACCGTTATAACTCCCACTTTGTTTAAATATTCTTTAATTTTTTAAATTTCACAACCCCTTCTAAAACAAAACCGGGTTTCCACCCCTCTTAAAACCCATGTATGAAAGGATTATGTATATAATATATAAAATATAAATAAAATTTTTAAAAATATAAAATTATATAAAAATAAAATATATATAAATATTAAAATATTTTTTTTTAAACCCAAGTCGGTCTTTCTCCCACCGAGAAAAATAAGATCACAGTAAACGGTTTTTTTAAAAGGAAAATGAAAGTGAAGCCCAAAGGGAAGCTTATAAGGGGGTCTGGCCACCCACCTCACTATCAATCCCCCCAACGGTTAAAAAACGTGACGGGGGGGGCGAGCCAATTTGGGATAGGCCTTTTGCAAAACTCACCCCCAACTTTTTAATTTGCCCAAAGTGTATTTTTTTTAAATTTCTTCCCAAATTCTTTAATAAAAAAAGGATCAAAATTTTTTATCCCCCAAAAGGAAATTTTCATATTATTGTCAAAACTGTTTTTTTATGAAACAAAAAATTAAATTTAAATTTTCCCCTGTCGACCAGGGCCCTTGTTTGATACTACTTTCTCAACTTTTTAAAAATAAATTTTGGAGGGTTTAAAAACTTTTAAACGGAATAAATAGGAAAGGGAAATTTTTTTTCCCTTTTTAATGCTATATTTATGTTTTTTTTTAATCTTATTTCAAATTTTTTTTCCCAGTTTGCCCCCTTTTAAAAAAAAAAAAAAAATTTTTAATCGCAAATTTTAAAAAGGAATCTTATGACACACCCAAATCAGTTTTTTGGGGGGAAATTTCCCTTAATAAAAAAGTTTTTTTACGTATCAAGATTTTTGAATAACCTTTAATTTAAAAGTTTTTAAGAATAAAGCAAATCAACCAAGTTTTCAGGGTAAGGGAAACCAAAAAAATTTTTAGTTGAAAAAAGGCGGTTCCCCTTTTTTTGGGGTTATAAAAAGTTTTCCTAGCAATTTTAAAAGATTTAAAATTATATTTTTTTGGGGGAAATTTTAAACCCTTACTTTTTTTCATAAATTTGGTTTTTTTTCCTCATCATAAATTTCAGGACTAAAAAATTCGTAAAGCTCTAAAAAACCCCTTGATGAAAAACAACAGTTTAACCAAAATTTGATCCCGAGGAAAAAATAGGGCCATGGGAACAGTTATTTGTATTTTTAAAAAAAATTTTTAATTTTTGAATTCATTTTTAACCCTTAAAAATTTAAAAAACATCTAAAAAGGAAAAGAGAAAAATTTTTTCAAACCAACAGAAATTTTTAAAAATTAAGGGGCAAAAACCCAATTTAAATTTTTCCAAAAAAAAGGGGTGTATATCTACTTTTTTGGGCCCTAAAACACAAAATATCATCAAAAAATATCAAAACCCTTTTAAGCCTAAAAGGGGGGAAATTTTTTAAAGCAACCTTTTTTTCAAAAAATTCCTTTAATAGGATTACTAAAAAACAGGTGAAGAGGTTTTCCCCAAAAGCCATACCAAAC